ATCTTGTCACATTCATTGTTCAAAAATTAATCTGTCAAAAAATCCACATAAATTTCCTCATCATTAAAGTGAAAAAATACAAAAATTATCAAAACAGTTCTCAATTTGTGGTATTTTGTAGTATTTTTAAGTGATAGATTAAATCTAATGTGAAATGTGCTTCGGAAAATCTAAAAAAATAAGTCCGCCTTCGGAAATCGTTGATTTTACTTATTATTTTTAATTTATGAGACAAAGTAAAGTTATCATTGTGTCCAGCCGAGATAATTTGATGATTTTTGTAATCTCTATTACTGCTCATTGATGAATTGATGAGATTAAAGTTATTTTCAAGGAAAAACATCTTGATAAACGAAGATAATATAAAAACAAATGGAATAATACCAATATTTCGGTGGTATAAAAATTGATTTTCCATTGGCCAATTGTGAAAAAGCTATCTTGCTTTCATGAAATCGCTAACAAATGCAAAACGTTTTTAATTCGGCTTTAATGAAAATAATTTGCAGACTGAATCGTTTTTTTTTCTGAGGCCATTTTGCTTGATCCTATTCCGTTTAGTTTTATGACGGCATTAATGGTTTCAAAGTTGCCTGGAAAAAGTTAAACGTCAAAAATTGTTTATCTTTCGATAGTTTTGTTGTTCGATCATTGCATCGAGCTTCTACTTCAGCGTTGGATCAGCAAGTTGCGTGGCATCCTCGATAAGGGCGATTATTATCCATTGGAAGCAGTTTATCAGGGAGTGTATCCACCGACAAACCAACATGACACTTAATTATGACTTATGCCCGAAAATCGTTAACGGCCGATTTAAATGTGCAGTGATCCGAATTGTCAAAATCATAGGGTTATTTATATAGATATAAATTATTTGTCCAGAATAGATCAGACACGAACCAATTCATTACTTTTGCATGCGGGTTCATGGCTTAGCTAAATATTTCCCGCGAACACGGAGCCAGATGTAAATAGTGTACGTTGATCGGAAATTTTTATTGCTTTTGCTATGGTCATTCATGTCGGTTTGTCGGTGGTGTACCTACTTGGAACTTGGAACCCCAAGTAACAAATCTAGAGCTGCTTGGCTATATTCCAAATTTATAAAGGTTTTATTGCAGCTGCAACCATTACCTACAGCTTTATGACGGTCATATACAATGCAAGTCATGAAACATTCTTATAGCTATCTACAAAACCCCTATAAAGCTAATTAAAAAACCAACTGATGCTTATGCTATTTTCACTTATGAAAGGTTTTATGATTGCATTGAAGTATACAAAAAAGTAATATAAATTGCCCTTATAAAACCAAAAAAATTAATCCTTTCGTTGCTTTATAAATAAGCGCAATAAAACTAGTTGGCCATGAAACAGTTATTTTAAAACAATTATAAGCATTCAGTTGCGACTTGTCAGAAATGTAAATAGGTGGTTTATTTTTACAACATAGAAAAGAATCAAAACTTTCCGGTACTTCAAAGCGGAGCGCAAAGAAAATCAACAAAATTGTTAGCATGAGCATGAAAACATTTCGTGTATACGTCTCGCTCGCATATACATGGGGTGACACGGTCGAATCTTGGTCGAAATGGTGACAGTTCTAGGGCAAAAAGGTTGAAATCACGCATAACTTTTCATAAAGGTTAATGCATTATTCAAAACTTTTCTAAATGTTTGTAAAATTCATCGGTTGCACCCGTAGAATAGGAATATACATTTGCCCTCAAATAAAAAAAATGAATTCAAGCTGAACATTGCATTAGGTCCTAAGTAATATTGACAGATTCGCTTCGTCAACTTTCTCTTTGCATCCCCACGGTCATGTAAAGACATTCCCAGGTATTTTCAGCACATAAATCGATAAAAGAAGCTTTTATCTAGCATCCAATACGACAAACACATCAAGAAACGGTTCTGTGAATAAGTTATCAACGAAAGAGAAAGTCGACGAAGAGAATCGATCAATGTTACTTAGGACCTAATGCAAAGTTCAGCTTGAATTGCTCTTGTAAAAAGAAAATAGTTCTCGTAATAAAATCATGCATTATGCTTTTCTGTTCTGCTTTCATCCTATGCACACTGGGCCAGGAATGCAACCTAGCGTATCAAAATTAATAACTCCGAAACGAAGCATTTCCGCGACTTTGTGTCTTCGGCAAAATTTCTCGACATAATAAGGACCATCTATTGACATAAACAAATAGTTCAAAACTCTTCCACAAAGATGGTGTTACAATCTAACTTCTTTCTCTGACGTTTTGGAAACTTGATGTCTTCGGCAAAGTTGTTTATCTTGACAAAATGAACAGCTCTTTCAAAGACGTTAAATTTCCACAGTCTACTGGTTCCAGAAAAAAAAACACAATTTTTGAACATTAATATCTCCTAAAGCGCAGAAAATCGCAACCTGACATTTTCAGCAAAAAATAAGAAATACTCGATAAACAAAATATCAAAATTTGAGAGAGGTATATTTTGGTGTTTTGTAGATATCTTCATTTTAATGGAACATTATTTTTTTCTATAACTTTTTTAATGTATTGAAATGGCGTTTTGAAGACTTGACAACTTTGGCAAAATTGTTTATCTTGATAAAATAAACAACTCTTCTTAAGACGTTAAAACTTCACAGCCTACTGTTTTCGAGGTATTTTCATTTAAACAATATATTTAAAATTAAAACACTTATATTCACATTTTTTTCTGTAATTTCACATAACTCGAAAACATTAGGCTGTGAAGTTTTAACGTATTTAGAAAAGTTGTTTATTTTATCAAGATAACCAACTTTGCCAAAGTCGTGAAGTCTTCGAAACACAAATTCAATGCATTAAAAAAAGCTATTTCTTAAGCTCTCAAATTTTGATATTTTGTTTATCGAGTATTGCTTAATTTTTGCTGAAAATGTCAGGTTGCGATTTTTTGCGCTTTGGGAGATATTAATGTTCGAAAATTGTGTTTTTTTTCTCGTTTTTTCAACAATATCTTTGAAATTTGAAGCTTAATCCAGTATGTTTCTTCACAAAAGCTATTTATTTAATGTATTTGCATAAGAGAATAATAAAACATTATAAAGCTGTAAGCAAAAAAACCAAAACAGAAAAAAAAAAAAACCATATTTGCAACATTTTTTTTAACTCCATATAACTTGGAACCAGTAGACAGTGGAAATTTAACGTCTTTGAAAGAGCTGTTCATTTTGTCAAGATAAACAACTTTGCCCAAAACATCAAGTCTCCAAAACGTCAGAGAAAGAAGTTAGATTGTGGCACCATCTTTGCGGAATAGTTTTGAACTATTTGTTTATGTCAATAGATGGTCCTTATTATGACGAGAAATTTTGCCGAAGACACCAAGTCGCGGAAATGCTTCGTTTTGGAGTTATTAATTTTGATCCGCTAGGTTGCATTCCTGACCCAGTGTGCAATGTTAGCATTAGACATTTTAAGAAATTGCGCTTGGTGTTTTTCTTGCCTGCTGTCCTCTGTCGCCATATTGTCATTATGAAAATGCCATTAGCCTTGGAATAAAATCCAAGAAATTTCAATAAAATAATGGCTAAATAAGAGATCCAAAATGATTTCCAGTGTGCATTGGTATGAATTTATGTATTGAGATCAATTTTCTGTAAATTTAAGGTAATTTCATCAAATTCATTTGATTTCTGAAACAATCTTTTTTGTTAACTTGAATTATTTTGGAGGCGCATTTATTTAACGCTCATATTATCTCAATATACACGATAACATTTCAAGCGCATATGTTTTGGAACTTCTAAAAAGTCATATATTTTCTTTAAAATTTTCACTAATGTCGCCATGAAACAAAATTGATGGCATGGTGATCTTGACACCAACACTCAAACCTATTTTTACCGCTAAAGATTTCCATTTGGAAAAAAAGTTTCAACAGAACAGAACATCAACAAGCTAATTTATGGCGGTTGCTTTGAAGCCAATAAAAATTCAATTGGCTTTATAACTGATTTTCACCAAAGCGTAATAAAACTGCTTGGATACAATATTACTCTTATAGAGGCTATCAGAACCTTTTGTAGAGTATGAGGCTTCCTGACAAAAGGTTTTAAGACAGCTTTATTGTGATTCTCAAACATGCTTTATAAACCTTATCAAGAGTGGTCCACTAAGCTGTATGACGATCTTATAGCGGTTATCAAAAGGTTGTGCTGGAGCTATTAATTTTATTGGCGGTTTTATGAAATTGATCTCAATAACCACTAATAGAGTGCAATAAAACAAGAAATGCTACTTGGGACAGGTGTTAGCACAATCGTCCCCGAAAAGTTTTCCTTCTCCCGATGATGCGATGAAGTTTATGTGCGCTTGCTTCGATTTTTTTGGAACAGTTGACCCTTTCGCCGAATCAAACCACTACTATGGTTAGGAAGTAAGCCAATTGCCAGCTGACTGACAGTTTCTGAAGTTTCCTCTAAGCAGTTTTCCGCAGTCCCTGCTTGGCACTGATGCATGTTATTCAGATCATCATCGAAACGCAATTTCTTCTCCTGCTGGTCTGCTTTATTCAGAACGTGACGCAAACGCGATTGACAATATTTTGGGTACTTCCATCAAGTTTAAGGGTCTAATTTGACGCCTTCTAGTGCTTCTCGAGCCGCATTTACTTCACTCTTCTCAGTCGGCTGTGCTGTCATTGTTAACCGGTTCAGTCGAAGCTACTGGGCCTCCCAAGATGTTCTGAAATTGGATTCATTTTCCCTTCCGTCGACAGCATCGCTAGAATTATTCCTCCTACCATCGCTAATATTATTACTCGACTATCATTTGGCATTTCCTTGTGATCCTGCTTTTTAAAGCTCTAATGTTGGCCAATCGCTCTAATCGCTAAAAATCTGCTATTTATCAATTTTATCTAGATGAACGCTTCATTGGGACGGTACTAAGGGATATTTTTGGTATTTCCCCTATTTCTTTGAAATTTTGGTAATCTTTATTCAACACGATTTCACTTTCTCTCAGCCAGGGCACCGAGTACCACGCTTCTCCACGGTCAACTGGGCCCTATGTGTGCCTTCCACCTGTTCCTATCAAGATGTCCAACTGTCGCTGGCTGAATTATTGCACGATCAAACCCAAGGCACTGGCCTCCGCTTGGAGGTGAACGTTGAACCGGAATCATGCCAGGTTAAAAATGGCGTGTGGAATCGTTATTACACTGACACCACCATGCTAGTGTGGATCGGGCTTCTCCTCTACTTTGGAATGGTACTCCTCTCGACGCTGTACGAGTACAAATCGGAGAGTAAAAGTAAGTGTTCCAGGAGATTGTTGGTTTTGATTTTTCATGGATCTATGCTTTTCAGATGACTGGTTGGCATCTTTCTCCCTGATTCGCAACACTCGAGCGATATTCTGCGTCAAGGAGGATCCAAATGACGTGGCTTGCGTTCATGGGATTCGTTTCTTCAATGCAATGCTCCTCGTCATAGCTCACAAATCGATGGCACTCTTTTTTAATCCTTACACCAACCGAACGAGCATGAGTGAGGTGAGTCTAATGAATGTTTGTATGCAACTAGGAAAGGAAACACCGAGTGGGAAGTGCGATACTCCTTTCCAGTTTACTCATATCAGTAGATAACAAGTTTCACAGGCCCTAGGTCAACCATGGACTGTCGTCGGACGTGCTGCGTCGCTCTTCACCGATCCGTTCATCATGTTCAGCGGGTTCCTGACGACGTACTCATTAGTCGGTCGTCTGATGCGTGGCCAACGTGTGAAATTGTATCAGGATTACATTGGACGATTCCTTCGAATAGCTCCACCTCTGGCAGCACTAATTCTGATTTGTACATTTGTGCTGCCGTTTCTCAGCAGTGGGCCACAGTGGAACCTGGTCGTTACGAATCATGGAGACATCTGCAAGAAGTACTGGTGGCGCAATTTGCTGTTCATTCACAACTACTTTGGATTCAAGAACATGTGTCTGACGCATACACACCATATCGGAATCGATACGGAGCTCTTTGTGGTTTCGCCGCTGTTTATTTGGTTGATTTGGAAATGGCCCAAGAAGGGCACTATCACACTGGTCGTCATTGCTTTGGTGACAACGATTCACAGGTTCTACATTACGTACAAACTGCGATTAGCGAACTACGTGTACTTCGGCACATCGTAAGTAGATGCTTCTGTTAAGTTGGGAATATGAATTGAAAACTAATTTTCCCATTCTCCTTGTTCATTCAGTGTTAAACAGCTATTCGACACGGCAGACAATATGTATATTCTGCCTTACTATCGCCTCACCGTGTATTTGATGGGCGTAATGCTTGGCTATGCATGCCGAGTCTTCAAAAATCTCCAACTAACGCCGGTAAGTAGAACAGTGATCAGACTGAAATGTATATTGTATGCAAAACACCATCTGGCACTGTACTGATTTATTATAATGTGTTTATTCAATCAAGCATTAGAGATTGTTGTAGATTTGGCATGTCAATGAACTGAATGAAATTAATGTCGATATTATTTTGTCTGTGTATTCCAGAACCAACTGCGGTTAGGTTGGTATGCTTGCAGTTTCCTACTGACGTTGGCGTTCTTTGGTCCAGCACCGATGGGTTCCGTGAATTACGAGTACAGCCCTTTCCACGCGGCCAACTATGCCGCATTTTCGCCCATCGCATGGTGTTTGTTCTTTGCCTGGGCAGTTTTCACCTCCCATCTAGGGTATAGAAGTGAGTTCATTCGTTGCTGGGATAATAAAGATGCGCATGGAAAACATTTGATTTTTCTTTTCTTTTTCTTTTTGCAGACAAACTGGTCGACTTACTTTCCTGGAGGGGATTCCGGGTGACAACGAAAATGTCCTACGCCATCTACCTGACGCAGTTTCCAATCTTCTTCTTTCAAGTGGGAAGAGTGCGAAGTTCGCTCTATTATAACTTTTTCTCCACCGTTTTGGTAAATTTTGATTTAGTATTTGTTGCATCGGTTATGAGCAGTTCCAGGCCAAATGGTGAATCGATCAGACTCGACCTTCTCCGATTTGCATGAAACTGTTCATAATTTAGAGTTTTTCTTAAATGCTATTCTTATATGCAACTCGACAGTGACCATACATAAGGGCGTAACTGCAATGATCGATTCGCTTCGTCAATTTTCTCTTTTGTTAAGAACTCGCTTGGCTTAACATTTCTCGGTTGCTTTTGATAGCCAATACAGCCTGTCACACCACTGTATTGGACAAATTTCAGAAAATTGCTTCCTTTAGTTGCAGCAATTTAAAGATGAAATAGACTCCATCATCGCAGGTAGGCCCTTATCACAGAACAGAAGGGGAACTTCGGATCAAAAAGTGGCTCCACTTTTCTTTGGCGAACACTAGCGCACCTAGCGGTAGGAGGCATCTTCTGCCTGTAGTTAAGATAGGCAGCATGCACAAGCACATAGAAAGCCCGTTTGGAACGCTACCACAACGAATCGCTTGTTGAGCAAAAAAAAGGTACCACTTTTTGATTCACCGATGTGTTTGCACTTCCCCTTCTGTTCTGTGCCCTTATGCATGCTCAAATGATGTGTAGCTGCCAATGATTCGCGCTTATTACTGTCTACACTAAACCGGATCTGCACCGCAAACAGGAAAACGACAAAATCGCTTCCGCAGCTTGCTTAAACAATCGACAGTGGAAGCCCTTAGGTCGAAGTTCCCTGAGAACGACGTTCTGGTTTCCAAATCACGATCGAATGTCATTCATGCAGCCGCCTCGCTTTCAACCGACAGGTTGCACATATTTTGTCTCCAAGATTTGGAACGATCGCAGAATAGATGTACAGTGTATCGCAAAATTGAGTGGAACAGTTTTTGAAACATTGTTAATAGATTTTTTTTAATCTTGGCTGGTGGTTAAACAGATGTTTATTGACTTATCGCTTTAGTTTTGGACTTTATTGGAAGAACCTGTATGATGTTAGATTTATTTTACTAAATGGCTTGATTTACAACTTTTTACCTAGTGGATGAATTTTAGTAAAATTTGTGGAATATGAATGATCTTTATTAGGTCATATGAATAAAAGCGTTTACTTTATGTAGTAGATAGAGTTAATGTGGAATAGAAATGAGTAGAATCGAGTGAGCGTGAAGCGTGATAGACCGTATGTTAACGGAATCTGATTGGTTCGGGCATTTTGATACAGCTAGAGGTACAAATATGAGGTACCTAAGCTTGTTGACGGCACTCAGTCATTCTCTGCTTGAACGTCAAGCAGTACAGTTCGGTCTTTGCTCGCTCTGTCGAGTTGTTCTAAAGTTTCCAGTTTGTTCCAAACATTCGCAGTTTAATCGCGTCGTCAGTAGTGTCGGTCGCTTCGTGTGATGGGACGACAGCGCTCCCGGAGCAGGCTCCGAGAGAAAACGGAGAAGAAGAACAGCGGTGAGCGTAGCTTGAGTGTACCTATTTCGAATAGGTACGCTACTCTTTCCACCGATGTAGGGAATACCACCTCAGCCACGGTGAAGCGGTCTAAGAAGAGGAAAAAAAATCAAGGCCAGTCCGATGGTGCGAGTCATTGGTGATTTCGGCGACGCCGTCGACAAGGAAACTGCTGCCAGCCCGAGTGCAGCAAAAATGAAGCTTCCTCCACTGGTGGTGAAGCAAGTCCCACTCAACACGCGGATTGGCGATCTCTCATCGCTGGGCGTTGCAGCCGAGTTTAAGCTCGGCAGGATCGGCACCAGTGTGATGCTCCGAACGGAAGTGGAGTACGAAGTGGCCGTGAAATATCTGAAGGATTCCAAGACGGAATTCTTCACGCACGACATCCCCGGTGAGAAGCCCTTCAAGGTAGTCATGAGGGGTCTACCAAACTTCGACCCCAAGATGGTCGAAGCTGAAATCAACCGGTACAAGCTAGCCCCAATCGCTGTATTCCGAATGACAAGGAGAGACGAAAACGTGAAGACGTACCCGGATTGTCTCTTCCTGGTGCACTTCCAGAAAGGGACGATGACTCTCAATGCGCTGCAAGCCATCCGATCGATCTACTCCATCATCGTACGGTGGGAGCCATACCGTGGCGGCCATCGTGACGTAACGCAGTGCCCGCACGGTACCCGCAACTGCAACACCAAGCCACGCTGCAGCAACTGCGCTCAAGAACACGCCACTTTCAACTGCCCTGCGGATGGAGCCGTGGCGTTAAAATGCGCCAACTGTGCACACATCAAGGTTCCGACAGACAGTGCTCCAAACGCGAAGACTTCAAACGCATCCGAAAACAGGTCGCAACTAACAACCAACCTGGACGCAAGAAGGACAAAGTCCCGGCATTTCGGACGGAGGATTTCCCGTCTCTTCGTGCTCTTCAGCAAAGGCAAGCGAATTCGCGGGTGCATCCCACTCAAGCAACTTCCGGTGATTCTTCTGGCCAAAGCTCTCCATCCCCCTGGATTCTGGAGACAACCAACAGCGCAAAACAACAACCCCGATCTATTCTCAGCGGATGAACTGATGGAAATTTTCGTCAACATGTCCGGTGCTCTTCGTAAGTGCCGCAATAAGCCCGAACAGATCTAAGTGCTCGGTAGGTTCATCATCCAGTGTGGCGTCTAAACCGCTAACTATCGTCACCTGGAATGCTTGCTCTGTAAGAGCAAAAAAGATTGAGCTTGCCGACTTCCTCGACAAGCACAGCATCGACGTGGGCCTTTTAACCGAGACCCATCTAAAGTCCGGTGACAGCTTCTGGTTGCCTGACCACAACATTATCCAGCACCAGCTCCAGGGGGTGGTGTTGCGGTCGTCGTCAAGAAAGGGATAAAATACCACACTCTGTCCCATATCCGAACCTCTATCATCGAGGCCCTTGGTGTGGAAGTGGAGTCGTCGACTGGATACGTCCAGTTCATCGCCTTCTACTGCCCTCGACAGTGTACCGCCAGCAGTGGACTAGCGGCTAAATTCAAGAAGGACCTGTCCACCATCACCCGTATCAGTTCCCGCTTCGTAGTTGGAGGAGATCTGAATGCTCGCCATGAGGCCTGGCAGAACTACCAGCAGAACCAGAACGGTCGTCTGCTGTTCGACCACTCACAGCATGGGCTGTACTCCGTTTGGTTTTCGCATGAACCAACATTTATCTCACCGGCGGGCAACCCATCGACGCTAGACCTGTTCCTGACAAATATCGGCTTGTCCAAGCCGGTAGCCTTGAACAAACTCAGCTCCGACCACCAACCGGTGGTGGCTGAACTGGGCTGCAACGTGGCTTCTGCTTCAAGCCTACGCAAGGACTACCATCGCGTAAACTGGGCCCAGTTTGGACGCGTGGTAGACATGCACATCATCGACAACCCGCCGCTTGACACCGTGGAGGACATCGACCGAGCGTTGGAGGGACTCCAGCAAGCCATAACCGTGGCTGACGAGGCGTGCGTCCGACGAGTTTCTGTGAGGGGTAAGTTTATTGCCATTGATTCCCACACCCAACTTTTGATTCGCCTGAAAAATTTTCGTAGACGCCAGTTTCAGAGGACTGGAGATCTGGGCAAAAAACGTGAAATGGCACCAAGAACATGAAGGCTCCCGGGTTTGACGGTATATTCAACTTGATCTTGAAGAGACTCAACAGATGCTTGGAACTGCACTACTTTCCAAGCATCTGGAAAGTAGCAAAAATTATACCAATCCGCAAGCCCGGTAAGGATCCAACATTGCCTTCAAGCTACAGATCAATCAGCTTCCTTTCAGCGCTGAGCAAATTGTTCGAGAAGCTCATTCTCAATCGTTCGCTCAAGTTTGTCGAGGAAAACAACATTCTCCTTCCGGAACAGTTTGGATTCAGAAAGGGGCACTCCACCAATCATCAGCTAGTACGGGTGATGAATAACATCCGAAGTAACAAAGCTGTATCCAAGTCCACAGCCATGGCCTTGTTAGACGTTGAAAAGACGTTTGACAATGTTTGGCATGATGGACTTGTGTACAAGCTTTGTAACTTCAACTTCCCATTACATCTGGGTAAAATCACCCGTAACTACCTTCAGCAAAGGTCGTTTAAGGTATCGTTGAATGGTTGTCTTTCAGACACTTTTTCCATTCCAGCAGGAGTCCCGCAAGGTAGTCTGCTGGGCCCCTTGCTTTACAGAATTTACACTTCTGACATTCCTCCCCTCGGAGACGGTTGCGTGTTTTTTCTGTTCGCAGATGATACCGCAATAGCCGTCAAAGGAAGGATGCCTCGTGAAATAACGAACAAACTTCAACGATGCCTTAACGCCTTTGCTGATTATGCCACCACGTGGAAAATCAAAATCAATCCCTCCAAAACACAAGCGATCATGTTCCTCCATCGGCAATCGCTCAAACTGAAACCGGCTCCATCTTGTACTGTAATCATGGATGGCACAAGGGTGGAGTGGTCCGCCGAAGTAACCTATCTCGGGATGTTGTTCGATGAAAAGCTCCTCTTCCGTTCGCATGTAGAGAAAACTGTAGTCAAGTGTTCTACCTTGGTTAGGTGTCTGTATCCGCTGATCTGCCGCAGATCCCGCCTCTCACGGGTAAACAAACTGGCTGTCTACAAACAAATAATAGCATCTGCGATCCTCTACGCAGCTCCGGTGTGGGAATCATGTGCACAGACCCACAGGAACATAATTCAGGTCGCTCAGAATAGAGTGCTGAGGACGGTTCTTGATCGTCGTTTCGACACTAGATAACAAATTTACACGAAGAGGGAGGCATTGCCAAAATAGATTCCAGAATTAACGAAATTAAGACTAAATTTGCACAAAAATTATTTATCAGAACATGCTTTGATAAGCAATTTGTATATAGTAGATTAGGTGTATATAGTAGTTGTAGGTTAGTTATAGTTGTAAATAGTAGTTATAAGTAGTCTCCTTTTTCAAATTTAAAACAAACCAATCCCACCAAGGTGGTCATTCTTAAAACAGGCCT